TTTTTTTCTTCTAGTAGTCTTATAATTTCAGGTCTTACATGTAAATCTTTACTTCATTTTGAGTTGATTTTTGTGTTTGGGATGAGATGAAGGACCAGACCTTTCTTCTCCACGCAGCTTTCCTGGTGCCATTCATTGACGAGACTCTTTCTCCACTGTGCGATTTTGTTATCTCTGTCAAAGAGCAGTTGACTGCATGTGTGTGGGTTTATTTCTAGGTTCTCCCACCTGTACTGTTGGTCAGTGTATCTGTTTTTATGATAGTACCTTTCTGTTCTGATTACTGAAGGTTTGTAATATGTTTTGAAATGAGGAAGTGTATTATCTCTAGCTTTGTTCTTTTACTCAACACTGGCTATTTGAGGTCATATGAAAAATGACAGTGGAATTTTGAAAGGTATTTCATTGAGTCATTTTAACAATAGTCATTCTTCCAGTCCATGAATACCAAATATCTTTCCACTAATTTATGTCTTCTTCAGTTTCTTCCATCCGTGTTTCAGTTTTCAGTGTACAGATCTTTTACCTCCTTCATAAAATTTATTCCCAAGTATCTTATTTTTTGATGGCATTATAAATGAGATTGTTTTCCTTGATTTCCTTTTCAGGTAGTTTATTGTTAGCATAAGAAACATTACTGATTTTGGGGTGTTTTTTTTGTATCCTGCAGCATTACTGAATTCACTTGTCAGTTCTACAGTTTTTGTGGTTTTTAATAGATAAGCTCATTTTGTCAACAAAGACAATTTCACTTCACACATTCCTATTAAAATACCTATTACTTATTTCTATTACCTAATTGCTCTCCCTAGAGCTTCCAGTACAATGTTGAAAAGGGGTGGTAAGAGTGGACATCCTTGTCTTTGATCCTAAAGGAAAAATGTAATTTTTCACCATTGAATATGATGTTAGCTGTGGTTTGTCATGTGTGGCCTTTGTGGCATTGAGGTACAGTCCCTCTGTTCCTAATCTGTTGAGAATTCCTATCATGAAAGGGTGTTGAATTCTATCAAACACTTTTTCTCCATCCTTTGAAATAATCATATGCTTTTTATCTTTCATTCTGATAAGATAATGTATGACATTTATTAATTTGTGTATGTTGCACCATTCTTGCATCCCCAGGATAAATTCCACTTCATCATGGTGAAGGATGCTTTTTATGTCTTTGTTGAAGAATGATTTAAATAACCAAACATAAACTACTTGAAATGTTGTCAGGACTTGAGAGACGTGTGGGACAGATGAAGGTCTGCCCTGTCTGTTCACTTCAGTTGACTACTTCTAGACCAACCATGTTCTTTCAGAATTGCTTATGGATCTTGTTTTTCATTTGGAAGTAAAGCAGCACAAGCAAAGAAGAAGGAAGCGGGTTTGTGCATAAGCGCTTAATATGGTAGGGATTTATTTTTCTGAAGACCAGAAACCAAAGCCCACAAGTTGCTGACCTTATTGACCTGTTCTAAAGCTGCTGCTAGGTGGATGAAAAGAAAAATCGACATCGAACACCCTGAATAGATGTTACCATCTTCCAATTGCTGACTTCTTAATACCAGTTCCAGTGATTTCATCATCCTGTATCTAACACAGAATCCACCACAGAGCTTGTTTTGGTTTAGGTCCACGTCTCTTTCCTGTCGCTCAAAGTTCTAGCTTTTATAAGTGGAAAGCTAGAGATTAATTGTTAAGATTTGATTTGCTTATTGTTGATTATGTTGAATAAATGAAAACTATGTTAGTTTTAAATTGTATTCTTATCTTTTATTTTGATTTTGTTTTACTTAGCACATTTGGAATTGAAAAGCCTAGATGTAAACATTAATATTTTGCATTAAATAGACTGAATGCATACGGTTCACAAAGGACTGTGATACTCTTAGAGAAAGGTAAATGTCATTTAATCTTTGTTTTTAAATAATATGTCAGCCAATGAGTAACAGAAGTATACTATACTCTGAGGTATGACATAATAACATCTGAAATTATATATAACCATGGCCGGACAATTGAGGAAAATCCTTTTCTTCTCCAAATAAAATTCCTCATCTTTCTCTTATGAAAGAGTAAATGTCAAGCACAAAAAAATCTAATGAAATAGTTAAGTCAAAAAGTGCTTAGTGTCCAGAGGCCATTCATCAAGTATTTGGAAGTTATTACAACTAGTATAATATATTAATATACCATTTTTACTTACATTATTGCATTTGACACCATTAAATACAACCGTGGATGAAAAATAGAAAAATATATACAATCTACTATTAACATCTATATCAAGAGGCCTTACATATCAGAAATAAAATGTCTTAATTTGGCAAAAGATATAAATTCTCAGTTTATAAAGGAAGACTTCTAAATAGCCAGCAAATTATATTCAGACTTACTCTCAGGAAAATGTAGACTGAATGAAAATTCCTCATTTCACCAATCCATTTGGCAAAAAATGAACTTTACCAAGTATGGAAAGAAGCAGACGCATTTAACTGTTAAGAGTTAAAGCATTTTTAAATAGTTTGATGAGGAATCTACCAAAATCCACATATTTAAAGGTTTTTCTAACTTTTGACCAATTCCATTTTCCAACAAAAATTACTTACCACATGTACCTAAAGCTGTAAGTTAAAGCATAACCACTGTGAAATGCTGCTTGTAAAGCAGAATGAAGTCAGTTTAAATATATATTAACAAGCAAATATTTAATAAATTTTATGCACACAAGAACATGCAGCCATTGAACCAAGGCATATACATAAATCCTATATCATAAGGGTGGTGGATACAATGTTAAATAAAAGGTCCATGTTGCAAAATATGTTTAAAAATATTTGTAGATTGTATGTGCATTTTTATGTATGCTTCTAAAATGCCTATTTAAAAGGATAACTGCCAGACTCTGAGTAGTGTTTAGAGAATGTTGGGCATGAAAAAGTTTTTTTTAAATTCAAAGGGTTTTTTTAGCCTGTGTGGTTCTATTAGCTAATTTGCCCAATCAACATATATTGCTTTTTTGTAATTCTTTAGGTTAGCCAAAAAGTGCTTATGAAATACGTAGCAAAGCTAGAGACCGTATTTTTATCTTTTATTCACTTTGACTACTGCAGTGTATTGTCTTTCTGTTACCATTTTACATCAGCAATCCTTTATTGTCCACAGCATTTTTTTTTCATTTAACAGCAAATTATGGATTCTTAGGGAGGTAGCAAACTTTCAACATAGCATCTTATAACTTGAAGTGATATTTTCATGCTGATTTCTCAGTCAAGTTTTCATCCTTATTTTAAAATGTGAAACAATCTGTAGAAGAGATTCCTTTACACATTGATCTTGCTTAAAGACTTACTAGCTTTGTTTCTAAAAGTTAAGCCACAGATACATAGGGTCACCAACTTCTTTCTCCATTTTTCTTATTCTCAGTAGGCCCTTTGGGTCCATTTGGAAGAGGCAGGTGTGAATTTCATCTCACTGTACATGTAGCTCCTTCCCAAGCTGAGCTTCTGATTGCAATACTTTGCAATGTTATTCTTCTTTCATTATAAGAAATAACTAGAATGGGACTGAATCATTCAGAACTGTGGCATTTGGAAGAGATTGACAGCTACCATTGAACTTACCCTGTATAGAGAAATATATAGGAGAATCCACTAATCTTTTCCTATATAGAGTTAGCACCCTAGTTTGGAATGTTCTTTAAAAGCTTATTTGGTTTTCTTTTGAACTTTTATAAGAAACAGCTTAATAAAAGGAAGAGTTCATAGTTATCCTGATATATCACTGGAAGTGTTTTGAAAAGTAAGGCATTGCAAGGGAAATTCATGAGTGTGTCTAAACTAAATAATCATTTTTATGTTAATTTCCTGAGATAATTGTTACATTGAAACTGTTCCCTTTATAATACTTTTTAATCTTGCAAGTATGGTTGAGAGTCTGTATGTCCAGAGAAATAAATGTAGACTCGGGATTTTTAGCATGAGAATTTTAGAACTTGTTCCATGATTCTAGCTTGCCAACTTCAAATTAGTATTTCCTCCTTGTTCTGTTCATATTTTTGCCTTTGACTGTTTCTTCAGGTAAAAATGCTATTGAGAGGATTGAGGAGGAGGTTAATACTGCTGTGAAAATATTTATGCTTTTTATTAGATCCACACCCCCTACCCCAGCATAATCTGAGTTGTAACACTCCTACTGAAAGGCTCAGAAAGATAGTAAGTTATTGAGTGTTCATTTTTTGCCAGGTATTAGGCTAAACATTGTGTATGCATTTTGTCATTGAATTGTCACAGCCACCTTTGCAAGTAGTTATAATTATCGTCCTTGTTTGACAGATGAGGAAGAGAAGGCTTAAAAGTTAGAACCTATATGACTAGTGAGTTGAACTTAGATTTATCTCATTCAAAAATCCCATACCATTAACATCTGTCATACTCTTTCTCTGTACTCCAGCAGGAAAACTTTCTCATAAGTATGACAGAAACACTTCATGTACTTTCCTCCTTTTCTTATTTCTCTGCTTTTTATCGTTTTCATATTCTTTTGAGTTGTAAATGATGCAAAAAACACACTTGTTTAAAAGTGTTAGCTTTGTTCAAATCTGCCTTAATCTAAGTGTACCTCCATCATTGTCTATAATTTTAAGAAATTATTCTTCATTGGTTGAATCTTCCCTATTTACTTACCTTGGAGTTTTTGTTCTTTGTATACTTAACATTTCTAAACCCATAATATCTGGAATAAGTGAGAGTAACTGTTAACTATGAAACCTAGCTACTTAACTAAAAAATCTTATTTTTAGTATCTATATGACTTTCTAGTTATGCATTTATATTCAGTGTTCTGTTCTACAATTTAAAGCTAAAGAAAATTTCCGGAAAATATGAAATAAAAAAGGAAATGCGTAAGTACCTGCTCATTGCTTTTGAGACATGTATGGTTTGGATTACTCCTTTCCCATTCTTAACTGGGATTTATCTAATAATGATGTGTTTTCTTCTTTGTGTTCCAAGGGTAGCCATTCCACAAAAGTAGAAGCGGTGGTCCGAACCCTCATGAGAATACAGCGCACAGACCCAGGAGCTAAAGCCCTTGTTTTCTCTACGGTATAGTTCATATTTTCCTCTGCAGCATTAACTCTGACCCGCTTTCTGTCTCTAATCATTTTATGTCTAAGAACTAATTTCTAATGCTTGCCCTAATGTAGATAAGAGTTAGAATTACAGATAGACTTTTTTCATATTCAATTTTTTTCCATATCCTTAAATGTAATTCTTTCTAGAGAAATTGGATAATACTTTACAAGGCAGTTTCTGTTTTATGATTTTATATTAATTTTATTTAAAGATATTCTTACTTTAATATTTTGAAAATTGGAATCTATGACCTTTAAAGTTGCATTTCACAAATGAATTTGGTTGTTTAAGAAAATTATCACATAAAGAATAGAATAAATCCAACAGTTTTCATTTTTTGAAAGATAAATAAGGTGAATACATCCACTAAACATTGCTTCAAACATACTCATGTTTTTATCCTATTTTTTAACCAGCATTTGATGCAAAAGAAAAAATGTTACAGCACAGCTAAATAACATTGATAGTACTGCATTTGAAGATTTGCTCTATATTACTTAAATCTAAGGTATAAAAGTTACTGTGATTTAGTCCCCTCAAATCCTCCTTAGACAAAAGCTGTGTGTAAATACAGGCTTTCTTATGTTTTATGTGTTCTAGTGGCAAGATGTATTAGATATTATTTCAAAAGCTCTTACCGACAACAACATGGAATTTGCACAAATCAGTCGTGTTAAGACATTTCAGGTATGTCAAGATTTCACTCTTGTTTGTTGATGTGAATTCAGTTGCAAACCAAAACTGCTACCTAGCTTACTTACATGTATTGCCATGTGTCATATAAGTCCCAGAAGTGGAGATTGAGTTCTTGACTAATTCTAAAATTAGCATTTTAAAGCATAGTAAAGAAAATAGAGATTTTTCAGTCCTTTTTTATTGACCACTTAAAAGACCATCCTCTTTTTAACAGTCATCTGACTTGAGAGCCTTTAGTATAGGAAAAGATTGCCCACGAGATACCTTTTGAACAGGGCCTTGGGCCTGGGTGTCAGACAGAAGTGAAAAGTACCATGGTCAAAATTGTTCTCACATCACTGTCAGCACAGTGACAGGTGCACATCATGAGGCACACACGTACATGCACACAAAACTCAGCAGATTCATGTCTCTTATCTCACATTCACTCTAGCACACTTTTCTTTCTTACATTTACCTTGTGACTTCCACTGTATTTTAGTAAAGCACAAGAGAACTTTGATGATAATTTTCCTCACAATGAAAGACAAGCAATAAGTTTCCATTTTCTGAAATTATTTCGCGATGACCTAATGTACCATTAACATCTTTACTTTGAACTATGAAATTCTGCTCTTTTAACCTCCAGCTAAAATTAAAATGTGTATTTCTTTTTTAGGAGAACCTATCAGCGTTTAAACATGATCCCCAAATCAATATTTTGCTGCTGCCCCTGCACACAGGTTCTAATGGATTAACTATCATTGAAGCAACTCATGTTCTCTTGGTGGAGCCCATATTGAACCCTGCCCATGAGCTGCAGGCCATAGGGAGGGTGCACCGAATTGGACAGACAAAGTAAGGACTGAAATTAGCATCACCCAGACACTAAATCAGCACTTACACCCCTCATTTATGTTCATGGTAGCCTGTTTACTTTTAATCACAGGTTGAACATCCCTCATCTGAAATTTTAGGGACCAGAAGTCTATCAAATTTCAGATTGTTTTCGGATTTGGGGATATTTGCATATACATAATGAGATATCTTGGGGATGAGGCCCACATCTAATAATGAAGTTCATTTATATTTTATATTTTATTTATATTTTACTTTATATACATAACCTGAGGGTGATTAATTTTACAATAATTTTAGTTCATGTGGATTTTGACTACAATCCATCACGTGAGGTCAATTATGAAAATTTCTACTGGTATCATGTCTACATTCAAAAATATTTGGATTTTCGGACAAGGAATGCTCAACCTGTACTTCCTAATTCAAATTTTAAGCATCATTATATGATTAAAGAGCATGGAATTTTGAAATGTGCCTCTCCTAAACAGCAAACCCATGAATTCTCCTGGTTTTTTGTCTTTGTTCATACAAAAATCTGATCATTTCATCTAAAAATATTGTTAGGCATTCTTAAGACAGCTGCAGAGTTAAAGGTAATAGATCATGACTTTGAGAAGAATTGAGTTTTGATTGTCAAGCAAATGTCTAAAAGAAGACTTATCTCCTACATGACTGAAAACAAATGACTCCTTATGAAATTTTTATCCTAAGAAAAAGCATCATCCTAGGTCAGCTCTAAGAGACAGACTGAGCTTGAGGCCCAAAACAAACCTAACTGTGAACATTATGTGGTATATTCTGCTTTTATGAAATATCAGCATGAACTGTTATCTTTGATAAGGCCTCCCACATACATTATTTCATGAGCATTAGATGACTTGAATGTTTTCAAATAAGCACATTTATACTAAGCACTCATTCAGTGTTACTGAACACCTAATAAATGTCAGGCATTTTACTGCATACTGAAGATTCAAGTTTAATAAGACATAGTTTATTCTCCAGCTGGGAGCGTACAGAGGAGGTCACTAGGTAGTACAGGAAACAGACGATTTAATGTCAGGTGAACATAAAGGCAGTGAGCCTCTGTGTGCTAGAGAGCCAAGGAAGACTTCATTAGATTGAGTCTTGAAAGAATAAGTATTTCAAAGGTGGGCTACAAAAGTGTGTTCATATAGCCAAAGAGATTCACATGCGCACAAACAGAGGTGATCGTCATCCTGACATCCTAGGGACTGTAAGAAGCAGGAAAGTGCTGAAGTATGAGAAAAAGTGGCAGGAGATGAGGTCTTCCATATGAGACCTGGAAATATGGGCTGCTGTATAAGCAATGGCTGGGAGAGCACATAGAAAGTCTTGATTTTAAATGGGACAGAGATATGTTCATCACTCAGTCCATTAACAAGATATGGCAAAGTGATTTCACTCTGTTAAATGCAGGCTTAATGCATCTTATCTTAGATTTGTTTTTTGTTTGCTTTGTGCTGTGTTTGTAAACAATAACTTGTCCTAACTGTGTTTTTCTAAAACCTAGACTGGGCTTATTTCAGATTTAAAAACACAAGTCAAAAAAGGCTGTTATTCAGCACTATCCAACGATTTTACTATGCTTTCCTAATAGATGGAGACTATAAGACTTCTGTGTCTTCCTCCTCCCCGCTGATGATTTGGCTTCATGTCAAGAACATGGCCTGTACCTCATCCTGCCATTGTCAGCCTGCATCAGTCCCTGTGAGCTGTGCTCATTAGTTCTGTTGACCACCTGCTGTGTGCAGGACACTCTTCTAGTTACTTGAGATCCAGTTGTAAGAGGATTGGTCGGGAGACAGCGCATAAACAATAAGCATATAAAAGATACACTATGTCGGGAGCTAAAATAGTACATCAGGGCGAGGAAGATTGAAGGTACAGGTGGAGGCCAGAACTTACTGAGAAGGTAACGTGAATAAAGACAGAGAGACATGGGAAAGTTAGTCATGGAGATATCTTGGCAAAGAATATTTCAGAGGAGAGTGCACTTGGCATGCCTGGTCTCTGTGAGGAACAGTAAGGAGCCCAGGTGCTGAAGAAGACTGAGCCAGGGAAGAGAAGGGAGGCCTGAAGTCAGGGGAATTATACTGGGCCCAGGAGGCCACTGTGAGGACGTTTACCGTGTGATACAGGGATCCATCAGAAGGCTTTGAGCTGAGGAATGACTCGGTCTAACTCGGGATCTAAAGAAACCAATCCTCAGTTTTGTGTTCAGACCAGGGTGAAGAGGATCAAACACAGAGAGCCCTGGAGGCCATTGTACTAGCCTTGGTGGGAGGGAGTGGGGAGCTGACCATGCTGGGAGCAGTGCCCATGCTAGAAAATAGGATTTCTCTATATTTTATTTTATGTTGAGGTAATGAGGAATGAGCTACATTTCATTGAGCTACATTTCCAGCCCTTTTTCATTTTTCATTTTGAGACGGGATCTCACTAAGTTGCTAAATCGTCTAGGCTAGACTCAAACTTGCATTACCCCCATTCCCAGACTGCTGGGATTACAATGTGCCACCTGCCTGGCTCCTGGATGTATTTTGAAAGTACAACTGATACTATTTGTGGACATAGTGGAGATGGGCTGAAAGAGAATCAAGAGTTAACACCCTAAACTTTGGCCTAGATGATCAGAAGGATGAAAAGCCTGCAGCTGAGCTAGAAAAGACCACAGTAGACCAGATTTGGTGAGGGAAGGACAGAAGTTTTCTTTAGATGTAAGTTTAAGATGTTTATTAGACATCCAAGTAGAGATTTCTGTTCTGCACTTGGATGTACAAGTCTAGAGTTTGGGAGAGAAGTCTGAGGTACAAATTAGAGGTCAGAAACAGGTAATGGTACTTTTAAGTCAAGAGACTGAACGAGATGAGCTAGACAAGAGAACCAAGAACAAAACTCCAGGGCACCCCAAAGTTAAAAGGCTCTGTAAGGAGGCACAGTAATAGACGAGCAAAGGCCACAGAAAACGGTCAAACCAATGACACGGGCATGACCAACTGTATCACGTGTAATCAGAAGGTCAAGATAAAGAATCTCATCTTTGGGATCTGGTCATTAGTTATAGCAGCCTGGAGACTAAAACTACTTTCAGTAATATAGTAGATGTGAGTGCTTATGAAGAAAGAATGGGATTCTGTATCTTCTAATTTAACAAACACATACAATGAAGAGAGGTTAAGTGACTGGTCCAGAGCCTGGAAAGTGGTGGCAGATGTAGGGCTGCAGTCCATGCTTCAGCTACAATTCACTGCTCTTTTGGCGGAGCTCACAGGACCAGGACTTTAAGGAGTTTTGCTGCAGAAAAAAGGAAGCGATTAATATCAAGACTGATTTTTTTTTTTGTCCTTCCAAATGGGAGAAATAAGGAGAAAATGATTAATTGGGGGCAGAACAACTAGGGAAGCAAGGGGAGGAAAAGAATAGTGGACCAGTATGCTTGAGAAGGGAAGGGGACACAGGACCTAACCCTGAAATGTGGGGTTGGTGTCAGGTAGGAGCATGCATGGGTCGTCCCTAGTAACAGGAGGGAGCCACCGTGTATGCCTTCCCTCTCGTCCCAAAGAAGTGTCTCCTTGCTTTCAAAAGCCATTCCCTCTGTTTGTCCCATCCATTCTCACATTCTCAAGGACTTTCCTCTAGTCATACATCACCACATAAATACATCTTAATATTATCCATCTTTAACACGTTGACAGCAGGGCCATAACTTGTATGTCTCTGCCGGATGGCTCTGAACCACTGCTAGTACATGCATGACTGTCCCAAAAGGCAGCATAGGACAGTTGCATCGGGTGACTTGTATCACCAGTGGTTCAAGTTAGCAGGAACATGAGTTAAAAACAAAAAACATACACTCTCCTACACTCCATTTTCAAAAACTCCCTAAAGCTCCCATTCTCTCAGCCTTTCTGTTTGGGTTTTTAGCCTTACCATCCCACTAAAATGAGGGTCTTAACATTATTGATGACCTACTTCTTACCAGTCCCAGTGCTACAAGTAACATTGACAGGTTCGTGACTCTCAAGTGTGTGTGTGTATGTGTGTGTGTGTGTGTGTGTGTGTATATATATATCCCTTGACCCCAAAATGCCCATTTACCTCCTGCTTCACCTTCATATATCCAGTTCTCTCTGTACATGGATCCATGGAGTCAACCTTCTCCTAATGCCTAGCTAGTAAGTACCTTAAGCTTAACATGGGCAAATCATAACTACTTTCCTACTGCCCTCCCACACACCCTAAGCCTTCCTCATCTCAGAATGTGGCAGTATCATCTGTAGTTGGCCCAGTTAAGAAATCTAATCTCACATCCAGATTATTATTTCAGTCTCGTCAACTTGACCGCCACATTTCCATATCTACTGACTAATTGCTGTCCTCACTGACATGACCAGAGCACAACCCACCCTCTCTTACCTGCACAACTACAAAACTTACCTGGCTTCTCTGCTTCCACCACAGCCACAGAGATTTGTAAAGTAAAAATCAGATCATGCCTAAAAACCCCCGAGAGCTTTCCACTGTAACCCCAGTAAAGTCCAGTTCCGGTCATGGCCCTGCTTCTCTCCAGCCTCTGTGTCACCTCTGTCCCTCGCGAACAGTAATGCTTCTGTCACACTCGCTCTCTGTCAGCCGCCCACACATTTCAAGCTTTCTCCAGCTGCAATCTCCTCCCAGTAAGGAACCCTGCTTCTTCTGCTTGGATGGGATGCTCTTCCAGCTCCTCTTTGCCTTCCGACCTCACCATCTCTCTCTCCCCGACATCTCTCATGTCCCAGCTCATACGTTCAGCTCTTCATGACATCATCTCCGCATGAAACACTCCGACTTCCTTCTGCGTGTACTATCTCTCTCCTCACTGGAGTGTTAGTTCACAGAGATCAACTGGTGCTGAGGTGCCCTCATTCAAGCACACTGATGAGTGTCACAAGTGGGCGCCGACTGGCGAGTATTGCTTAAGTCAGTTCCTGTAATCTTTTCTTTCCGTTTCTTTTTTATTAATATATGTTTGTGATACATACTTGTTTACAGTCGCACTCATCTTGGGGAACTGGTACATATTCTGGCAGTCACTGTTTAGCTGTTGTCAGTTGTGTTGCTGTAAACAGGTCTGCGTGTGTCGCTGTACGTGGTGTCCTTAGCTCTTTTGGAAAGAAGCCCAGAAGAGGGAAAGTTGAGTCAAATGGAGTTTCTATTTTTAGTTCTTGAGGAATCTCCATACTGATTTCTATAGTGATTTTACTAGCTTACATTCCCACCAGTTACATAAAATAATTCCTTTTCCCCATAAGCTGCCAGCATTAGTTGTTTTTTGTCCTTGATGAGAGTCATTTTTCTAGAGTAAAATGGAATCTCAGTGCTGTTTTGACTTGCATCTTCTAATTGCCAGAGATGCTTAACATTTTTTGTGTGTACTTATTGCCCGTTTGTATTTCTTCTTTTGAGAAGTGTACTAATTTAAGGTGTCTTTAAACTTACAATTATTATGTCCCTTCTAGACCTACAATTGTACACAGATTCTTAATTAAAGCAACAATAGAAGAAAGAATGCAGGCCATGCTGAAAACTGCGGAGAGGAGGTAGGAAGCAACTTCCCATCAATACATGCTGCAAGGTTTCCCTGTTTATTTACACAGGATGTGTTCAGAACATCCTCACTTAGAAGGCAACAAAACATGCAACACAAATACTTTTGTATAAGGAATGACATTTCACATATCTGGTATTTCCCAGTTAATGTTTTACATGTTCTATATTGAAGTTATTAATAGGGTGTAATATGTAAAAACATTTTCAACTCAAACTTTTCATTACCATTCTGGGTTACTCTTTAAAGAATATGGGGAAGGCAGGTGGTATGATACTGGGGATTGAACCTGGGGCCTTCACACAGAGCTACTTCTCCAACCCTTTTTATTTTGAGACAGCGGGCTCAAACTGATGATCCTCCTGCCTCAGCCTCATAGAGTGCTAGGATTAGAGCACTATAACTGGACTGTCAGGTGTATATCCCTTATGACTCTCGGGTGTATATCCCCTGACCCAGAAATACCCATTTAACCCCTGCTTCACCTTCATATATCCAGTTCTCTGTGCATGGATCGATGGACTCCACCTTCTCCTACAATGCCTAGCTAATAAATGTCCTCAACTGGATACACCACTACAACCAGATTAAATAAAATATATTTGTGCCCTATCTAAACCTTAGTTTTATAGGTGTAAAACTCAGCTTGTATCGCTGCATAGTACTTGTTAGTCACTTGCAATTAGGAATATCTGAATTTTAAAACTTGGCCGGTGGTTGTGGTATCAATCCAGAGGCAGAACAGATGCAAAGAGACCAAAACAGTCTTAGTTTTAAGATTTGGCTTTGAAATCATTAAGCTTTCTAATATTTATGCTATGAATTTTCTTCACCAACATTTTGAAACAAACTGATACCTTTCTCCCTGTGTGCGATAGGACTGGAAGACAGCAGTCAGTCGGGGTGATTGCCTCGCAAGAGAGGGTCTCCCCATTGCTTTGCATAGCAGAGAAGCAGGTGGACAGAAACCCTCCACCTGTGGTGTATGGGAAGGAAGGGCTCCACCTGAACAGGAAGGCTTTCTCCTCTGTGTGACAGACCCTAGTGATATCATTTACACTAAGTAAATTTTAGAAAGCAGTTAGAACCTCTGCTGAAATTCTCCTCAGACACATTAGCTTTTCATGGTCGGAGGTAAATTGTAAGGTTTGAGCCTTATGGCAAACCTTACAGGGACCTTCTTTCTCTCTTTCTTTTTCTTTCTTTTCTCTTTTCTTTCCTTTTTTCCCTTCTTCCTCTCTCCCTTTTTTCCATCCTTCTTTCCTTCTTTGGAAAAAACATTGTATGACAAAGCCAGAAAATAATATGTAGAAATCTTCAGTAAGTTTGATGAAAGGTAATAATCTCATCACCTACTTTTTTCTGGAAGGGTTTTTTTTTTAGGTCCATTACAACAACTTAGGAACACATATGTGTCTGGTCTTCTATTATAAATGTGCTCACTGATTTCTTGGGCTTTCTTTCCAACCGGGCCCACTTGGAAAACCCTTCAGTCATATGAACTCATCAGGGAAGCATTCCGAGGCCTCCGTTCTGACTGTGGCTGATCTGGCAGACCTGTTCACCAAAGAACCTGAAGAGCTCGAGTGAACGACACTTACTTCATTCCATACTTGACTAATGTATTAACAAGCTTTCATAGCTGTAGAAAAATGTTACAAGTTTAAAAAAAAAAAAACCTCCAGTAGATGTCATAGACACTGTTCCTAGTCAAATGAATTTGTTTCCTATTTTGGTTATACGCTGGCCTACTATTTATTGAGTCTTTTTCAATCTGCCACTTTCAAAGGATCTATAAAGATTTTTAATTTTCCAGCCCTAATAAAACATGTATTTTTGTTCTGAAAAATACATCCTGTGTGGCAAGAGAATTAAGAGAGGTAACAAATACTTTTCTTTTGATAAGACCAACCTTAAGAAGAGCTGGGATAAGAGAGGAAGGAAACCAGTCTAGTTCTACTGACCTGGTGTATTCACACAACACAGATTTCATGTTTGGAAGGGTCTTCAGGGTCTTTAGCACGTGAGTTACCAATATCTTGTCAGCAATATTTTAAGTAAGTGCTGAACTATAAGAACTCCTAGTCACTTGAGTAAGTGTCAGCTATAACATTGTGCGTAGTAATTTCACAGTAATTCAACTTCTAACAGTAAGTTAATGTTAGGTAGTAATTCTCTCTGCATCTTGCTACTAAAAATCAAAATACTGAAAACTGTATTTTTCTATTATGTGTTAAGTGGTGTTAGTGTTAAGTGGTTAGCTCTACATAGCATTTTAAGTATATTAGCATTTACCTTACAATTAACTGTCATCTTAATTTTTTATTTTCTTTTATATTTTGATTGATATATCTGTAAATATTGCAGTTTTTATGATTGTCGGTCTTACCATTATAACATGGAACTATGGCAGGTTTTTTAAATCATTATTATACTGATGTCTTGGATTATTTTCCTTTCCTGTATTCTTATGTAGCTACACATTTCAGCCACTAATATCTAAATTTATGACAGAGTTTATTTCATTTCAGCCATTCTTTCCTGAAGGACTAGTATTTGATCTTTTGAACAAGAGAATGCTTTGTTCACATAAGCAAATAATTGTAGTGATGAAAACCAAGTGTTCCTTCTTCTGTGAAGAATTAATGGGCTTCAAGACCGCTCCCTGTAGCCCAGCCATCTGAGGTAACCCAAATGCTCTTGCTTCGGTTTGCTTTCTTTGGTCCTTCAGAGTGTAAATGGCCCTCAGGACTCGTTAGCCCTGGAAAACTGTAATAGAACTAGCCGCTGGACCTCCTTCACCGAGAGGCTTTGGTGCTTAGCAAAGGTGCATTTTCTTACTCTGGGTTTATAGCGTGACATAATTCAGCTGAAGAAAACACACATTTTTGGTGCTTATACTTCAGTTGAAGGGAGGTATGCATTGATTCTTTTATATGAAATTAAACAGCTATTATTTTTGTAGCTCTTTATGTATTATAAAGAGCTTTTCTGTACATTTGTGTGTTTATTTTTCCGAGCAACCCAGTGAAGTTGGTGTAATTAATTTAATTCCTGTTCTAACAATAAAGAGCAGAGGTTCAGAAATACTGAGAAACCTACCTGTAACATGTAGCAAAAAAAACACAGTGGTGCTTAGCACCCCTGACTATAAATCTCATGTTCTTCCACTAAATCCAATGTGATGCTGAGATTCTGAAGGCCCGTAGCTATAATTTAATAACGAAACTATTTCAGTATCGTTGGCTTCCTAGTATTCCTTTATGTCCTGTGTTTTAAGGAAAACAATTTGATATGCTTCAATTTTGTAAAAAAATAAATAAACATATAGATATACTGATCTGTATTAGAGAAAAACTCCTCTTATTTATTTCTGTAAGATATCTTCAATTAAATAAATATTTTAGTGGAAATTGAAATTGTGGAACTGTTTCATTTCTAAGCCATAGACCATATGTATTTTCTTGCCTCAAGAAAATGATGTCAAACAAATGATGTCAAGATTACTAATTCTAAGGAATTCCATATTTTATTTTTATTAGTACGTGTGTGTAGTCCATGAAGTTGACATTCATCTTAGGGAGTAGGTAATGTACTTAGCATATCTTGATTCTTTTTATTCCCTTTTCCCTTCCTACTCATCTCTCTCCAACTCTAGATTTCCTTTCCCCATTTTTATTATTTTTATTTATTAATTTATTTCTTTTTAGTTCATGTTTGCTGCATATGATTACATTCATTGTATTTGTAACTGTGCGTGATGCATCTTAAATCCTTTTGTGTCCTCTTCCTCTCCCCTACTTCCTCATCATCAGTCTCTTAGACTCCTTCCCATTTATAAAAGGATCTGTCTCCGTGATTCCTTTTATTGGTTTTTTTATTTTGCTCTTTTTTATGTACTTTGTCTTACTCAAACGAGAGAAATTATATGGTATTGAAGCTTGAGTGTTTGATTTATTTCCCGTGACATTGTTTTTCGGTCGAATCCATCTTCCTACAAATGTTTCGTGTTTATCCTCCTTTATAGCCAAGCAGTACTCCATTATGTATAGATACCACATTTTCTTTATCCCTTCATCTGTTGATGGACATATCGGTTACACCTAGAATTTAGCTATTATGAACTGTGCTGCTATAAACATAGGTGTGTATGTGTCACTGTAATATGATATCTTTAGCTCTTTTGGGAAGATACCTAGAAATGGAATAGCTTGGTCAAATGGAATTTCTATTTTTAGTTTTTTGAGAAATCTTTGTACTGATTTCCACGTTTTGTTGGCAAATGTATTTCATACACATTTGTTATTTCTTCAGAACAGTTACGATGAGTTTTTCTAGTTGTTCAAAACAAATACAGATCTAATCCCCACATCTTCTTGGCTACAAAGGATTTTTTAGTTCCCTTTCTCCATCACTGTATATTCTCTGAAATATCACTGTATTTATAGTTGTTCTTAAATGGATGCTATACAGATGAACCACTCAGAAAAAATAAGATACCCAGGCCAGGGATTTAGCTTAGTGGTTCCGCCGCCTGCCTAGCAAGCACAAGGTCCCAAGTTTGATCCCCGGCACCAAAACAAAAATAAAATAAAATAAGATACCTGAGCCTTAGAATAGCCCCAAGTGCTTAGGGCTGAAATGTTTGGATCTGGGGAATTGTTCTCTATTAAATAACTCCAGATGCATTTGCTAGAACTGCAAAGATTTATTTATATACCTGGCAAGCTGCATATTACCTAATTCCATAGTCTTTTGGGTCAAGCCCAGATGGCTTTACTATCTTTGTTACCACTTCAGCTTTCCTCTTTATATATGATTTTGGCATCACAAGCCATGTGTGTAGTTCTAGGCCTTCCCCATGGTTGTGTATATATTCAGGAAGCCCAGGAGTCAGTCTTTAGTGTGGGGGAGAGAGAAGCTGGTCCCTTTCATGTCATTAATAACGACAAACTAAGAATTTTAACATGATAATTCAACATGTAACTACTAATATTTTATAAATAGTAGTAGTTGATAACAAAACTATTTACTGAAATATTTAGGAATTGAATTTAGTAATGCATAATTCATCAACTCAAGACCTTTTCAAGAGACCAGAGGAAGAAACAATGTCTCTAAATTTTGTGCTCTCGTTTACTAGCCTCGACCATATTTAGTTTGCTTGAGATCTGTGTGTTTATTAAGGTAGATGACAATCTTTGAAAATACAGAAATCACCTGTACTTTATAAATGACCAAAGTCCAACTGAAATTCAATAAAAGTGTCTTTCATTTTTCTAGAATTTAGCCAAATTCCCACAATAATACGCCATTTTATACTTCTTAACTGGTCTTCCAATATAAAATGAAGTGTCATTCCAACAGTACAGGGCAAGCAATGCATTTTGAGCTTCCCCCCTCTGATAAGGGAAATCTAACCTTCAATAATTTATCTTCAGAGTAAGTGGATTTTCTTTCATAAAATGTTCTGTTTGTAAGAATGTAGTGTACCTCTACCGTGAACCCAGTGTGAATGTGCGTCACATGTGAGGGCTGACTGTGAGCCACTTGCAGTCTTTCTGTTAGAGGAAAGCTGTGTAATTGTTAACCCTAAAGGGAATTCAAGTCTCACAATAAGTATTTGTGGCTGCCTCGGGGTTATAGAACAGATAGTTATCACATACAGAAAATAGCACAAGAACTCCCAGGAACCAAAAGTGTCAGCTCTAGCCTCCCCACGCCCTCAGACAACCATTCGGGGACATTTAGAACTCTGAAGAGCAGAGGTTCCACTGCGTCCCTTAGGTCCTAGTCTGTTGTTTACTATTAGTGACACAAGACTGATTTTGTTTGTTGAAAATGATTTGTTACATTGAAAACAAATCCTTCATATTTCAGTCTGTTCCAGCAAAATAAAAATAGAATTTAAGTAGTCTTCATAATCTGTGTAATGATCTCTTTACTGAGTAAAACACCTTCCAATTCTTTTTTCTATCCTTTCTTCCTGTATTCCTTCCTTCCAATTTTCTTTTCCTCTTTGGTTTCGAAAGTCTGTGTCTTGTTATCAGAAAAATCATTTATTGCCATTACATAAGAAGGACCCTTATCAGATCACTGGCCACAAATTGCTAACCTGGAATCAGTGCATATGGGAGGAAACAGTGTACAGGTGCATTTCAAAGAGTAAATGCAAAAATTCTGTGGATACTGGCAACTCCCTAGAGAGTATATCGTTGGTCATGTTCTTACAGGGATGCCGCACTTTTCAAGTGTGGTGCCTGGAGGTCCCCAGAACTTTAAGGAGTCCAAAAAACCCTAAGATTTTTCTTCACAGATATCAGTGAAACCAACATACTTAACACATTTATTGAAGAAGCAGATAATACAAGAATCTGGTTGCCTTCTGTTAGAGAACATTAAAGAGATCTGCAAAATCATAGAACAATGCTGTTTTCTCTTGAGTTGTTTTTCGTTGTTGTATTTTGGGGAAAAATCATGTTTTTAAAACATTGCTATTATATGTTAATATGTAATAGGTTTAGTATCTTAATGAGCTATTTTAATATCTCATGGAAAATAGTTGTAGATATAACCAATACAAACCAAAAACTAGAACATTCCATAATTTTAAGACATAGAGAATTTCTTGGCCTCAAAAGTTGAGAAACACTGTGACAACTTCTTTTTAAATCATTTTCTATTCAACAAAAGCAAGAGATCAGCATAA